CACACACACACACACACACACACACACACACACACACACACACACACACACACACACACACACATGCAAACACAAACACAAACACAAACACAAACACAAACACAAACACAATCATAAACACAAGAAGTGATGCCATGCGCATGCAGGGAAACCAGGGGAAAAGAAACAAAAGACCTGTGAACTGAATCAGACAAAAAAGGTGCGTGGATCAGCAGCGTTGGTCGTACTTCTTTATCTATGCCTTCAAACATCTTCTTCTCCATTTCATCAGTGCAGGTCCTCAGAGTCTCCAATTCCTTCATCACTCGGCTGTGATGTTCTTCATGGACCTGCCACTGCGTTTCCATCTGATGCCACGCCCGCTTCTCCTCCAGCTGGGACATCTCAACCTCATGAAAAGCCTTGAGCAGCGTCTTCTGGAAGACCATCACCATCTCTCTTTCTTTTGTCTGCATCTCCTGCATCCGCGCCTCAAGCTTCATATTTTTCTCCTGTACTCTCTGCAGTGCTTTACACAATTCCTTCATTCCTCGTTCCTGCAGAGTGGCGAGCCGCATCAAAAATCAGGATCATTTGGCGAGAACCATTTTCGTCGCACCGTTTTCTCAGTGCTTGTTCACTCAGCAAGACCCACACAAGCAGAAATGTAAAAAGGAGTTGGCCTTTGGCACAAATGCATAGCACAGGTTGAGAGCGGTCATCCTCTGTCTTGTAAGAAGAGCCAGTGAGGCCCTCTGCTTACTGTAAGAGGGTAAAACAATACAAAACAATAAAAAAGAATCGAGTCGAAGAGAGACATGACAGCAGCACAGCAGAGGAGGCAAGGAAATGTGCAGAATAAAATAAGCCCATTTTCACAACCGTTGACTAATAAGATCAACCCGCCCCTCCATCCAGCGGCTTGGGCAGATCCATACTTTATCCTCCTGCAAAAATTCCAATCCTACCAACTCAAGGCTTATCAGAACCATAAAACTGAGTTTGAAAGTGTGAAAAGAAAAAGAACCCTTCAAATGTCCTCATCTGTACATCCTAAAGAAATGATAGCTGTCAGCATCCTTCTTCGATGACATGGAAGCTTCATAGCATAGCATCATGCGGAACTCCTAAATACTAATTAGTAAATACATTTAATACAAAAAATGAAACGGAGATCGTTTCTTATGATGCTAAATGAGCATGTTGCTTGTAAACACACACACACACACACGCACACACACACACACACACACACACACACACACACACACACACACACACACACACACACACACACANCACACACACACACACACACACACACACACACACACACACACACACACACACACACACACACACACACACACACACGCACACACACACACACAGTTGCAATGAACATGATCTCCGGAGCTCGAACTTGATTTGCCCAGAACAACATCTATATTTGGTCAGTTTTAACTGTGATTGGAACAAATACAGATGTGAGACTTAAAGTCTGCTGAAACATTACCACCTACAAGGAACCTGATACATGCCCAGTTGGGCAATGTATGTAGAGCCAAGGATCCGCAATGTGATGAAAAGGACTGAATGGACAATGCAATGTTAGTGAAACATCAACAGGCAATGTGCATGCTGATACATACGAAATGGCACTCAATAGCATAACGGAAGACTTCAAGGTAAGTCCTGACCTGACCTGGACTGACACGACATCCCATTATGCATCACACATGTGAGAGGAAGAGGAGGGACTGCACACCAAGAAGAAAGGTCTCTCCTTGCACACGCACATGGGGAGATACCATAGACGAGGGATGGAGGGAGAGGGAGAAGTCCGAGATCACAATAAGGAAGTCCAAAATAGTCCCTTGCCGATGTCCAATCAATGTCTGCCTCAGAAAGGCCGAATCAGATCCTGGGCAACATGCCCTCGGTAACCTCTGCCGACATCCTCTGCTGATAACCTCTCTCACTCTTGCTTCTGAAGAAGAAGAGGAAGAAGATGAAGAAGAGGAAGGAGGGAGGGAGAGAGAGAGAGAGAGAGATGAGATGGAGGACGAGGAAGAAGAAGAAGATGACGTCCTCCTCGCTATCTCACATGAAGGTGTCTACCGCCATGCTGCCTAGGTCATCGCCGTGTGCAGGTACCACACGGAGCTCCGGCTATGGAGCCAGGTAAGTCCACCACTGCAGGTAGGCCTCCGCCTCTCTCACTCTACCCCGTGCACTCTCCTCCTAGCTCAACGGCGCTGTGCTCAAAACAGCGCAACATGGTGCAGCCTCCTTCCAGCAGCGTGTCGCTCAAGAAGTGAGCAACCGAACTGTCCTCAGCCCGGCCTCAGCCCAGCTATATGTAGCGCTGGGCCGGCTGGGCGGTCTCAAGTACGGCCTCAAAAATGGCCTACTGAGTCTGATGCAACGGGGCGCTAAAACACGCCTGGCCTTGAAAAAGTCCTGGCCCCTGCATACCTGGTCCACAGCGTTGCCTTGGGACCTGCTGTCCAAAACGGTGTCTGGACCTGCCATCCGAAACGACGTCCGGATGGACCCTGCTGGTACCTGTGGCCAAAAAGGCCGTTGTGGGCCTCCGGGGTGCACTCTGGATGGCGCGTGGCCTGGGGCCCCATTAGCAACCGTCGGGCCCTTCAAAATACGGCCCGTGTGCAGGCGCAGCATGTAACAGAACCTGAACGACAAAGACAGTAGCATACAGGATTATAGTGAAAGTCGGAATTGATTTCTGAAGCATAGCCATACGCTCTATAGTCACTGTAGTCATAAGCTCTATAGCCATAAGCTGGGCAATTATGGCAACTGCTCAAAAGCGGAGAGCAGTTGAACAAAGCCCATTAGCACTCAGATTCTACTATATGGCCTTCAGTACATCCGTACAATTTGAACGATGAAGAGAAGATTAGCATGTCTACTGAGCAAGGATGACACACAAATGGACAAATGGTCCAAACTATTCGGAAAAAAACGCAATGCAGGACATGTAGGGGAACTGGAATCTGGTGAAAAAAAAAATACAAATTGAGGATTCAACATCCAACGGGCGAAGAAAGACCCAAACGAATCGTACATTTGCAGAGTCCGTGCAAATCAAGCACGGGAAGCGATCCTTCATTGTCTGATTCACTGCAAAGAAGCAACAGAACACTGGGCTAAAGCTTTCAGTCTTTGGACTTCCTCTCTTTTCTCCCCCATTCCCTGAACATCCTGTCCGCATGTCCTTTCCAGCTTCAAAAGCCCAAAAGGTTATGGTATGGTATAATCAGGAAGGCAACGGCGGGGATCATCTATTAAAACAAAAGACACAGCGCCACACTAGATGACATGCACAATAAAAGCAAGAGAGGTGTGGGCCTCTACAAAGGACCTGATTGAAACAGAAATCAGAGTAACTTGGAAAAGACCAGAAAGTAGATTCGAACAAGTCCGGCAAACGAATAATCGTTCACGGCTCGCTTCGTACGAAATCGGTTGGAACGAGGCAAGACAGCCTTCTTCATCGAGGGCCAACGTCTAGACTGGAAAGATTGCCACAACGCAGAAATAAGACAAAGGCAGCCAGCGCACTCCCGCAATGACGACAACCGATATGGTCTTAGCAACAGCGGCAGAGAACTGAGATTCCATAGTCGTTTCGACTGAGAGGAATTGGAAACTAAGAGGCCAGCTCACAGTCAGATTCCATAGTCGTTTCGACTCAGAGGAACTGCAAACAAAGAGGCCAACTCACAGTCAATCTTCCTGCCACGGAGCAGTCGGTGTTGTTCAGATGGTCTGTCAGCCTCCAACGAGGGATTGTATTCAGCAAACCTCAATTATCGTAAGTCCAATTGAACAACACTGTCATACATACTCAAAGAATGAAGGAAGAAAAGTAGTGGAAGAAGGAGACAGACAAAGGGAAACCCGCACAACAAGATGCAAAATCTTATTAAACCCAGACGCGACAGTAGCCACGACGAATTGATAAACATAAAGGTATGGCTACGAGCTCAGCAACGTGAGCTCAGATCGTTCAGATGGGTCTGTCAGCTTCCAATGGACAGAAGGATCGAGTGTAATTGATAATGACTTGCCAGGGGGAAAAGGAACCAGACTGACGGTCCCCACGCCAATTTCATGGTAGTCAGAGAAGCTAAGCTGCGGCCAACCTGAAGGGTCAAATGTGCAATTTCAATCAAGAATATCCTTCTCAAGGAGCAGACGATGTTGACATATTTGCAGTGGAGATGGCCGTGGACAAAACACCGGATTAGCGAGCATACCTCAAGACCATTCATGAAGTACTGCAGCTAAGAAACCCCGTCAACCCCTTCACATACACACGCACAGGGGTGTATGCTGAGAGGAGGAGAAGGGAAATATCAGAGTTCTGGGTGCCCATGTGACTCCCATATGTCTCGGAAGGACAACTGGCGTGACAGATTTCACACCATGACGGATTTCACACCGTGACGGATTTCACACTGAGCAATTGCTAAGAGGTCTCATCCTACGTTCACATCACAATTGCAGAGTGGTTGAAGGCCCACTATCCAGTTCTTCCTCAATGTCATCTTCGTACCCTCGCTCATCTCTGATATGCGTAGCAGACTGTATCAAGTACGAGTATCTGCAAGCACTTAGTCTCAGGTATGTATCGCAGACTGTCACTTCGGTACTGAGTATAGTCGATTCAAATCAGTCTCAGTGAAGAGAATAACTAAACCATCGCCATTCTATGGGCGATGTTTTTTGCCAGCAAAAGCTCAACCACACTCTTCTCTACGTGAATGGAATCATGTCTTTCTACATAGTAGGTACATGTTTCCATGGTGACATGTACCTATGATTCCATATGTAATAAATGGCAGTATCGCCCTACTGGGCTTGATGCTTAGACCTGTAGGAAGCAGTCTCTATGTGGAAGTCTTAGATCATTAGGCTTTGCTGTTTTGTCATTTTCTGCTCTTCTGGAAACTGGTAGGCCGCTAGGTCTTTGTTTTGTATGTCCTAACCTTGGGTCCCCTTAGTCTAGGTTTCCATCTAGATGCATGTAGGTAGATCTTGACTGTTTGGCCGTAGATGTTTGATGTTTGGACGGTCAGATAGATAAGTAGGTGGCTGCTGTGTTGTAGGTCCAGGGAAGTCGGGTTCTTTTCCCTTTGTGGGCACAGGTTTTTTTCCCTTTTCGAAGTCCAAACCTGCCGCATCCGTACTCATTTCAGAAAAAAAAAAAAAGAAGGCCAACAAATCGTTGCCCAGTTTGCGCTCAGTATTTTACACTGAGTATTCGCAGGCACAGTTTTTTTTACCCGCTGCCTTTGCGGGCACAGTTTTTTTTTGCCTTTGCGAAGTCCAACCCTGAATGGTTTACCCCGTTAACCATGCCTTGGCAACATTATGGCACAACGCACGTACAGACAGGGCAATACTGAGCTATATTGGTTCTTTCCAACCCTGCATGGTTTACCCCGTTAACCATGCCTTGGCAATGGCACAACGCACGTACAGACAGGGCAATACTGAGTTATCGGTTCTTTCCCCACAGTGCTCAGCATGGGAATACATGACTGCATTCTCGCTTAGAAGTTAGAACTAGTTCGTCCCCGCAGCGCTCAGCACGGAATGCTGCCCCGAGGATAAAAACTAGGTTCATTTCCAAAAGTCATTAGGTTGTTTTCGGTGGGTGTTATATCCACTGTCTTCTTTCGTGAGGCTCTGTTCTGCATTACTTCGTTCTTTGGCCATCATGAAGCTTGTTTTGGTGGGAGTTGTGTCCAGTGTTTTTGTGAGGTGCGGCCCTGTTTTACATTACTTGGTTTTTCAGCGATCATCAAGCTTCTACACCACGGAAAGCTCATCCCATTGACAAATCATACGACAAAGACTGGGCAAGTAGATGAGCATCTGGAAGAATAGCATGGAAATGAGGGCTTCAGTACGTGTGGAAGCACGAAAGGAGGATGAGAAAAGTAGATTGCTTCTAATCTAAACAGTACCAAAATACCCACAGGCATAGCTCAGTTGGTACAACCTTGAACTGGATAAATGCAGACCTCAGTCGAAACTAACATACTCGAATTCTGACTTACCTAGGGCTGGTCAGTTAGATGGCCATTGGGAGAGAGAGAAAAAAAAAAAAAAAAAAAAAAAAAAAAACCAGTACAGAAAACTCAAGGCAGTCGAAGAATATCCCACCTTCAGTAAAGCCCTGGTTGCATCATCAACTTGAAGGAGGTCTTCAAGGCCCTTGGATGTTTTTACTTACTGTTTCGACCTGCATGTAAACATGCCATCATAATATTGTAGGGACGTCATTATCTCCACCGTACGAAAAGAACTCAAAGACATATCATTCAATCAACGGATCGAATGAAGCTTGCTGAAGGAGCGCCCTGCAGGTTTTCAGCTGCCTGCTGTCCCCCAAGACAGAGAAAGTGTGCCCTAGACCGGAAACACTGGGCGATCCAAGAACACAGGCATTCTGAACCGAGCCGTGTACCTCACGTGACGACTTCAATCAGGCTGCAGAAAGTGTCCTAGACACACTGCACACAAACACACCCTTACCCAAGCGAAACGCAATCCTGCACACATCTACTCTCGACCTATCACAGACTAATTGAGCTGCAAGTCGTCGACTCTGACTCAACTGGCATCTGAATTGCTGACCAGAATTTTTGGGGTCAGTGGACAAGCTCGTCTCCTACGGGCATGGAGAAGGCTCCCACCCCCGAGCAAGCTGTTACCCGAGAGGTGGAAGCCTGGCAGGAAATTGCAAGACAGCCTGTTTTGGGGAATGTCCGCATCACGGACGGACAGAGATGGCAGAGGTCCAGTGGAGGCCCAGTAGAGGCTAGAGGCAGGGCCGCTTTCGATAGGACCTGTGCTGCAAGCTACTGCTCTCGCCCTTCCTATCGCCTGTCTCTTATACACATCTAGATGTGTATAAGGGAGAGGTCCAGTGGAGGTCCAGTAGAGGCTAGAGGCAGGGCCGCTTTCGATAGGACCTGTGCTGCAAGCTACTGCTCTCGCCCTTCCTAACGCTGCACCTAACAAGGCCCGGCAGACGATATCGGCTATCAGCTTCCACCAAAGAGGTTTTTAGGGGGTGCTGTTAGGCTTTTCATGTGCGTGTGAGCAAGTTTAATTTGTGCTTTGGATGCAAATTGAGCGCTGTTTCATATTGCTGGTGGAATACGTCCACTGCGCGCGAGTCCAGGCCAACCTTTCTTTACCCGAATAGAACATACGGTCATAATTGCTGTATTAACTTCTGTTTTCTTAGAATGACCACCAGTTCTGCTGGGAGTCAGGCAGCAAGTGCTGCTGTCCAAAATTTTTCATTGCTCGTGACAATTCGTCCCGATGAACAAAATCAGCGTTCTTCAGGAGTAATCAAGCAACAGTTTCAACTCCGTAGAGCGGGGCGCATCCCCGCTTGCAGCAGTCCCTGTCACAGTACACAACTTTTAGTGCTCAACCCAATCATCACGATCAGGGTTCTCAGCGTGCTCAAGTTACTGAAGTTTCAATCTCTATGTGCTTAATTGCCTTCAATCTTCGTCTGTTGGGTCCACCTTGCAGATTCTCGATGTGCCTAAAGTGCCCTCAATCTGAATCTGTGTCTGTTGGTTCAGCGCATGTCTACATTGCACAACCTCCCCGCATCACTGTAATTTGAAAGTACTCAGTATAAAACAAAACCTTCCAGTGTCTCAACGCATGCACTGTGGCCAAGGTTCTCACACTAATTAGGATGAAAGTCAACACCGTAAACCCTAAACCCTAAACCCTAAACCCTAAGCCCTTGAGGTCATTTTTCATCACATGCTCAAAGTAGGGGATAACATCATAATACATTTTCAAACCTCGTCCCTTGTTTTGCTTGAGCATCAATCACCTCCACTAAACTGAGCACAAGGGAACAGTCACCCTCCACCATGTTCTGGAAAGCAAGGTTTACCCACCAGTACAGCTGGGGGCGTTTCGTTCGCTGAACTGATGCGGCCCCTGCGCGCTTAAATTTGCCGAAGCGCCAGTGCGGCATTTTTCGTTTTGTGTTTGGCTGATGGCAACAGCCATTTCGGTCCGGTTGCTCCGAGCCCCAAAAAGCCCCAAACTTTTTGCTGGTGGGGACGAGTTCATTTTCTGCAAGGCGGGGGCCATTTACTGGTCGTTTAAATCCAATTTGCAGGTGGCAGTCGTGACTGCTATAATAAACCATTTGGCCTGCTGCGGCAAAGGTGTTCCTCTAGGATCACTGATTTAGGCAGTCCTTTGGAAGATCTCTGACCGTGTCTCCGAGATGCAGTTGAATGGGGAGTTCATGAAAGCGAGGTGTAGGTGGGATAGCAGACCAGATGTGGCAAGGAAGGCACAAAGCAACATCACAGAAAAAAGAGGCGACCTTTTACTGTGAGGGAGTTGGCACTGAGGCTGCAACAGTCATTTCGTTTCGCAGGAAAATAACTTTCTGCTCATTTTTTACCACTAGGTCTACCAAGAGTTAGACGAGCGGTAGGTATTTGGCCATGCCTGCGCATTTGGCCACAGCTCCGCACAGACTACCAGCCAGGGCTCCCACCCATCTAGCATCACTACTGCCCGATGTATACCAGTGCAATTCGTGGATGCCGTCCGTCAAAGGTAATGATAGTTTACGGCATCATAAAAACAGCACCGGAAACAATGGGGAGAAGAGAAGATAGCAAGCAGAAGAGCCGCAAAAGCCAGCAAGCCAACGACCTTTCCAGACAGAGCAGCAACAATAGCGCCAAACCTCAAACACAACAGCTTGGCAGCTACAAGACACCTGAAGCACTGAAGACTGCGACAGCACAACGATGACGACCGCAACATCCGTAACGGCAGAACTTCCCAGAAAAACAGCAGCAAGTAAGCAATTGGAGAATTTGGAGTCACATAAACAACAACAAACGCAACAGGAAAGCCAAGGCTTCCTGTGGAACACACATATTACTGACGAGGTTATAGGGAAGAGGGAGGCGGAGAGCGACGAAGAGAAAAGGTTAGGGTCCTAAGGGAAGCGAAAAAAAAGGTTGGGGTCCTAAGGGAAGCGAAAACTGTGAAAGCGGAACAGGAAGAAGGTCAGGAATAAATTGAGGAATCGAGAAGAATATCAGGACCAACAGGTTTCTCATGTGGAGTAGAGCTGTTTATATATTAATAGGACTGTTACAGTAGTAAAGGAGGGAGGGATGCTCATCGATACGAAGTACGTACATCTTGAAGTTTTACCTCCCGCTCTTTTCTAAGGAGATGTCTTAGCTGAATGAGTTCCTTCTCCATCTCGAGAAGTGAACACACTCGCCTTTCATCTTGATCCATACGAGCCTGGAGCTCCTCCTGAAGACTCCTCTCCCGCGCCTGCATCTCTTCCAATGCATGCAGAGTTTCTTCAGTGATGCTCTTGGACCTCTCCCTCTCTCTAGTCAAGATATGCTCGATCTTCTCCCCCAGATCTCTCAATTCCGCGCGCTGCTGCTCTGTGACATCCAGTAACACCTTGCAGATCCCCTCCTTCAACGCAAGCTGCAATAAGAAAGCGCAGCCAACAAGAGAGCAGAGTAGCCGAAAACAAAGCACAACAAGCCCCCAGTCAATGGCTCCACAACAAGAGAGCAATCCAGACCGCATAAAGGATTTCCATCCGGCCATTCTCATCCACTCACAGGAGGAGGGGCATGAAGCAATCGACATCCTCCACTGCAATCGAGAATCGAGATCCTCCAATGTCAAGCTGTTCCCTTATAGGAATCAAGGGACTCATACGCCCATAAAAAACAAACTCAGTTGGGCTCTCCATACAGAAGTCGATCTGCAACAATGTACAGATCCCATGATATACATAAACAGCGATTTCGTCAAAACGTTCATATTTTATTTTTTGAACAAAAGTGAAAATCCAAAATGGGGCCAAATTTTGATGAAATTTTGGGTATGGCCTCCGGGAGGCCGCATTTTGAAGGGCATTGGAGAGACTGTACTGAGTTGGAACGGACAGCTAAGACCCTAAGCATAAGCATGTTCGCATTCAGGAGCACAATAGGCCGGCAGAGGCCCCGCACTACCGCATCAAACGGCTGCCGCGCCAGCCAATACAAAACAGAAGTTTACATAGTCGGGGTTGTCACATGGGACTACGAACCCTGTCGGTTAAATTTGTGCACGGTCAAATTTGTGCACGGTCAAATTTGCGCACGGTCAAATTTGTGTACGGACAAATTTGCGCACGGTCAAATTTGTGTACGGTAAAATGTGTACGGTAAAAGTTGTGTAGGGTAAAAGTTGTGTAGGGTAAAACTGGTGTACGTCACACATTGACTTCAACCCCCAATATGATGGTCAAATACAGATACGGGCTTTTATCCAAATGCAAGACACGCAGCGTACTGTCGGAATGCGATATCATAATGCCCAAGAGGGTGAAAGAAACCCCAAATGCGGGCCTCCCTCCACTACACAACATTGTACATGTATGTGGCCTGCATTGCGGACCAGATACTGTTTGATCTTATCCAGCACTCGGAATGCATTGGGATCAGTAACAAGTCCAGCTACATACAGAGTCACTGTGGTGTACCGGAGCGAGGCCGCACGAACTATCAAGAGTCGATTTCGAAGATGGAACCAAGCAGTTCGGGCTGACCACTTGGGAATCGCTCACGACCTCCGTGATATTAGTAAAAAAGAACGGGAGTTTCGTCCCGGTCTTTCAATGCATGTGGTCGGGCAATCGATCGTCCCCTGGTGTTTATAGGCAAGAACATGGAAAGATACACCGACATGTGTTGATAGGCTAGAACACGGAAAGATACACCGACATATTCAGACAGCAACGTCCGCTCACGACCTCCGTGTTTATAGGCTAGGGTGAGGATGGACAAAAATCAGATAGCAGCAAGAAGAGTTCAAGCCATCATGACATTTACGACGCAATGGGAATAAATCTTCGTTTATTAGAAAAAAAAATAAAAAAGGAATAAATCTTCGTCTAGAACATGGAAAGATACACCGACATATTTTTTGTCTTTTGTGCATGTGGTTAGTGGTGGATCGAGACCCGATGAGTCGCAGGTCCAGCTGCCGAAGCGCTTGTACACAGTCCAGATAAAAATCTGGCAATATCACGTCTTTGGGGCTTGCCACACGGCACATGAAACGAAAACGAAACGAATGCATCTGCACAGGAAAGGTGGCAAAATGCACTCGTTACTATTTGTCACCCGAGCAAGGCTGGCTTGATAAGGAAAGTAAGGCCGAGAGAGGGTGACCACCAAAGTGTGTTCTCGTCAAAAAACGAGTTTTATCACTTACCATCGAAAAAACGAGTTCTATCAATTCGTAACTATAGCAAACGCTACCAACTGGTCATTTTTTGGCTACAGAGAGTGATAATTCTCAGTACCGTGAAGAAAAATTAAGCCCGGAGGGAAACCAACCAAACAAAAGAAAAAAAGTAAAGACGTGAGACGACAGAGTTAACGAATCGAAGTCTCGTGTGTGTGTGTGTGTGTGTGTGTGTGTGTGTGTGTGTGTGTGTGTGTGTGGTCATATTCGCTATACAGTCAAAAAAAACATGACTTTCACCGGACAGACTGTTTCGTCGGACTGCCCAGGATGCATTTGACTGATGGATAAGGACTCACCACATCGCCCAGAGTTAGCTTTACCCCGCGACTTTGTGTGTGTGGGGAGGGGGGGGGGGGGG